AACTAACTTGCCCAGGAAGAATGGAATGTGAATAAGGCCCAGGCAAATACTGGCTTCTACCTAGTGGAGGTCAACAGAGTGAGCTTGCCTTGTCTGAGAACTAGTAATGGCCAAAGCCAAATATACCTGGGCTTTCATCTCTCCCTTCATCCAAGCAGCCTTGTAATTTCACAGTTCAGAGAGCTTAAGCTCTTTGAGTGGCAGTTTCCCCACATGCCAGGTACTGGTTTATGACTCTGCAGCACTAAATTAATCCCTACAGGCTGGGAGAGTGGCTCAAGTGGTAGAGCATCTTCTTACCAAGTGTGAAGCCTTCCTTTAAGTTCAAGTCTCAGTACCTACAGCAACTCCATGAGATAGTTACCATTCCCATTTCACAATGGAAGAAATCAAAGTCACAGGGCTGCTAAGAGACATAGCCAGAATTCAAAAAGCATTCTGGTTCCAGAGGCCATCCTCTCATCCCCTGCACCTTACAGTCTCTCTCCTGGGCACGAAGCTCCCATTCTGAAAAGCCTTTTCTAATGTTCCTGTAGTTGGCTGAATGAAGAAAACACTGATGAAGAGAGAAACAAAAGCAGTTCAGAGAACGGACCCTTTGAAGCAACTCTTAGGTTATGGACCCCTCTGGCTGTCTGGTTATCAGCCTTTGGACATTATTTCAGAATAATATTGTTTTGCAGTGCTAGGGACTGAACCAAGGGCCTCATACATGTGAGGCAGGCACTCTACCACTAAGATACATCCCAAGCCCCTTGCTTTGTTTTTAAATAATTTTTCTTTTTTTGGTGGTACTGGGATTTGAACTCAGGCCTTTGCACTTGCTAAGCAGGTGCTCTACTGCTTGAGCCACACCCCCAGCCCTCTTTGCTCTTATTATTTTGGAGACAGGGTCTCACTTTTTGTTCAGGCCAGTCTGGACTGTGATCCTTGTATTCATGCTTCCCACAATGCACCTGTCATTTCACCATCAAGATGGATTCTTGTCCAGATTGGCCTCCAACCACAATCATCTGGATCTCGGCCTCCCAAGTAGCTAGGATTATAGGCATAAGCCACTGGAGCTTGGCTTAAATGCTTTTTTTGTTTTGTTTTGTTTTTTGGTTGGACTGAGGTTTGAACTCAGGGTTCTGTGCTTACAAAGCAGGCACTCTACTGTTTGCTCCACACCTCCAGTACATTTTGCTCTGATTATTTATTTATTTATTATTTTGATGGAACTGGGGTTTGAACTCAGAGCTTAATGCTTGCTAAGCAGGTGATCTACCACTTGAGCCACTCTACCAGCCAAGTTCTGGTTATTTTTGAAATGGGGTCTTGCCAACTATCTACCTGGGCTAGTCTAGAACCATGATCCTGCCGATCTGTCTCCCAAGTAGCTAGGATTACAGGTGTGAGCCACCAGAGTCTGGCTTAAATAATGTTTTTAAGTGCACAAAACACAAATGCTTCTGACCAGAGAAATACTGCCATGTAGTAGAAAAGACATGACCTCTATCTCTGACCCACAATGCCCTCATTAGGGTTAGGGGCATGGCTGTGGGGGAAAGGAAGGAGACATAAGAGAGCAAAGAGAGATGGTGGGAAGGAGCTCTAATAGATGGTAGAACTAAAAAGAAAGCTACCAACTACAAAAAGAAGTAAAACTATAGCTTCTAGTACATCTGTTGGCTGAAAACATATTTGCATTATCTTAAAAGACTGTTCACAACTTTCCTAACATTTCTAAACATTTCAAACTTTCATCAAACACTGGGAAACCATCTCTAAAGTCGCAAGAAACAGAGCCAGTAAAACTCAACTGGGAGAAGAAAAGAAATGTTATTAATACCATTTTCCAGTGCCAGACCTTCTCTAGATCCTTCTGTCCTTTCTCCACTGCCTCCACCATCAGTCCACAATCCTGGGCTTCTTTCCTTAAGATCTTTACCCTAATTCATATGACTGTTTGAATAAATCTAGGTTTCATGAAGCATCTGTAGGTGTTGCTACAACTCCTTCTGCTTGGCTGGGTCATGAGCTATACAAACCCTGAGGACAAAAAGCCCAGAAGTGGAACATGAAAACCTTAGTCCTTAAGTCCACCTTATAGGTTTCACTGACCTATGAGGGGGTCGGTGACATGGGTCCAGTCAATGCAGCACTGCAGTTCGAGCTGGTAGTGGGATTGGATATAGAGAAGGAGATGCTGGTAGAAGCCAATACCAGCGACCAAGTGTGTCCTGTAGGCACATTCCAAGGTACTTCGGCTATGAATATGCTAGAGATTGGGAAAGAGAAGGAGTTGGCTAAGGAATAAGCTCAGAGTACCATTCCTCCCTCCCCAACCTGTTCATCTCACTGAAGAGATACTTTTCTTGGCTCTGGAACCTCAATCACAAGTTCTCTCACTCACAAGTTATCCCTACACCCTTAGATCTACCTCTCTGGTCTATCTCCATGAGACGAGACTCCCTTCCTTCTCCAATTCCGACTATTATGCCTGACTCCCTCCCTCCTTTCTGCCATCTTTTCCTTGGCTCCCTTACCTCCAACCATATTCTGGGACCACTTTTCTTCCCAGAACTCAGACAGCTGAATCAAGAGGATCACTGTTCTCTCTTCCATTCTTAGCTTCCCTTCTTTTAGGCAAGTTTCTTTTAGTTCTAGGACCTCTCCTTACCTTTTTGTTAGTTTTGATAAGCTGAATAACTTCATAGTACACCTTTCTCCACAGCAGCTCCTCCGCCTTCCTCCCATAGTCCACTGGATGCAGGAACATAAGCTTAACACAGAGCTCACGCAGCCTGAGCAGGTGAAAGGGAGAGTGAGATACACTGCCATCCTTTGGTGGGGAGGGGGGGTCACAAAAACTACGGCAAGAAGGCATATGCCAATACCCCCCCCAACAAATCTATATGCCTCCCAGGAGACATCCATAGTCAATATAAACTCACAACAACAGCAGTCTAAGAAAGCAGTGGGAGCCCCAAAAGATAGAACCAGAAAATAATAAGAATTTTAACAATCTTTATTTTTTCCTCAGCATCCCTTCCTCCCTTTTTCTATGCCTTTTTATCCTTTTTATTTCCCTCCTTTGTTACACAGTATGGCCAGCTCCTTTAACTTAAATGCCATTCTTATGACACCAGTCTACTGGATGGAGAAGCTACAGATGGAGAGAGAAATTCCTATCTCATCTCTTGGGAGGGCCAAAGATTCAGTCTATCATAATGGACTTCACCATGAAGTCAGGAGGTAAAAGAGCTCATGTTTTTATATATATAAATATATATACATATTTACACATAAAAATATATAATATATATATATGTTTGTCAGGGTTTCTGGTAGAAATGGACAGGGAAACACTAAGGATCTATGGTTTAGAGTTTCTAGCTTACTTGTTCCTCAGGCTAATGTTTTCTGGTTTGAACACCTCTTGATAAGCAGTTTTGTTGCAAAGGATGAGGTCAAGTCGATGCACAGCCTCCACCACAGCCCTGCAGGAAACAGGCAAAGAGCCCTGAGCCATGCGCATATTCACCTCAAATGCTGAGGTGCTGATTCTAAAGGAAAAACTAAAAGATTAGGGGGAAAGAGGGAGGAATGGGAAATAATGGAGAGGTTGAACTTGTTCAAACTATACTGTATATGTGTATGAAATTACCACAATGAAATAACCTTGTATTATTAATGTATATTAATTCAAAATATAATAAAACTATTTTTTAAAAGTGAGGAATCAAATCTAAAAAAAAAAAATAGGGGTGGAGAAACAAATAGGCCATAGGCTGAGTCCTGAACAAAACAAAACAAACATTCTCCACCCTGATACAGCAGCTCTCCCCAGTCAGGGGACATATGGCAATGACAGAGACATTTTCCATTGTCACAACTGAGGGAGGTACTATTGGCATTTAGTGGGTGCTACTAGACACCGTACAATGCACATGTCAGTCCATCACAATAAAGAATTATAGCAAACCCACCTTATTCACAGATTTATAACACACAATTTTGACCAAGTATGGCCAAATAGAAGTAAATATTTCTAAAACAAAAAATTTTAATTCCTGTTTATGCAACTGCTACAGAGAAGCTCTCAGGCAATCCTGCATTATCATCAGTTGTGTTTAAATCATGTGATTGGCTGAGTGTTCTCCTGTCCTCGATTTTGTGAAAATATGCCTTTTAAAAAGCAAACAGTGTCCTAAGAGCAAGGTAAAAATTAATGTGTTTAATTTAAGTGATAAAGTGAAAATTTTAGACTTGTTGAAAGGTGACATGTCTTTAGCAGAAGTTGGGCGATGTTAAGGGAAAAAATGAAACAAGTATCCACAGTACAGTACTGAATTCTATGTATTCTGAGTAACCTCATTTGCTCCTCAATGGCAATCTCTTTAGAACCATAAGTCTACTGATATCAAGGGTCTACTGTACCCTCAGCCAGGCATGGTGGCACACACCGGCAACCCCAGCACTCAGAAGATTGAGGTGGGAGGATCACTTGTGCTCAGAAGTTCAGTACCAGCCTGGCAACAGAACAAGACCCTATCTTTAAAAGATTTTTTTTGTGGCACTGGGGTTTGAACTCTTGGCCTCGTACTTGCTACGTATGTGCTCTACCACTTGAACCATTCCTCTAGCAAGACCCTGTCTTTAAAAAAGAAAAAAGAGCCAGGCACCAGTGGCTCACACCTGTAATCCTAGCTACTCAGGAGGCAGAGATCAGGAGCATCAAGGTTTGAAGCCAGCCCAGGTCAACAGTTCAAGAAACCCTATCTCGAAAAAAACCCTTCACAAAGAAGGGCTGGTAGAGTGGCTCCAGGTGTAGGCCCTGAGTTCAGGCCCCATTACTGCAAAAAAAAAAAAAAACCAGGAAAAGGACTGCTGGGAGATAGTGGCTCATGCCTGTAATCCTAGCTTCTTGAGAAGCTGAGATCAGAAGAACTGTGGTTCGAGGCCAGTCAGGGATCATTTCAAAAATAACCAGATGAAAATGGACTGGCTCAAGTGGTAGAGTGTTTTGCAAGTGCCAAGTCCTGAGTTCATACTCCAGTCCCACAAAAATAAATAAAATAAATAAATACCCTGCCTAAAATGTCAATAGTGTGAAGGCAGGGAAATTCTGTACCAGAAAGATAAGACTCACCCAATGGAAAGAGTGCAGGCTGTGATGCCAGGCAGAAAAACCTAGAGTTTGAACCCTGGCTTTGTCTTTGGGCAAATGATCTAACCAATAAAAATGGCCTAATAATAGAAGCTACTCAGAAAACTGTTGTGAAGATCAAATACAATAATTTATCTACAGCTTTAGTCTATGGTAAACATTCAATAAGAATGGAGGAATGAGTGTACTATTATGATGCAAGGGCTTATTATCTCTGACATAAAGAAAAGGCACTTCTGATATAAAATTCTGCTTTGGAATTGCAGCGTATAGGAAAGTAGAGGGGACTCCTGAGCTATTTAGTTGTAAGGTCTCCTGGATTTTGCTGAAAGACTGTTTGTTTAGCAATATAGTTAAGAGTGAAGGCTTGGGCTGATGGAGTGGTTCAAGTGGTAGAGCACCTGCAGAGCAAGTGTGAGGCCCTGAGTTCAAACCCCAGTATCACCAAGAAAGAAAAATATTTAAAAAACAAGTAACAAGCCGGGCATCAGTGGCTAACACCTGTAATCCTAGCTACTCAGGAAGCACAGATCAGGAGGAACGCAGTTAAAGCCAACCCGGGCAAACAGTTTGAGAGACCCTATTTTGAAAAAAAAAATCACAAACAAGGGCTGCTGGAGTGGCTCAAGGTGTAGGCCCTGAATACAAACCCCAGTATCCCCCCCCCACACACACACATGAAAAATGGATGGACTGGAGGAGAAGCTCAAGTGGTAGTACAGTGCCTGCTTTGCAAGTTCAAAGCCCTGAGTTCAAATCCCAGTCTCTCATACACACATACACACAAAAAAATTTACTGGCCTAATAAATTGGTGCTGTGGAACTTCCAGCAACCCTTTTCTTTTTCTTCAGACAATCTTTGAAAATTTCAGAATTTCACATCCCTAAAACAGCTAGTTGTGGGAGTTTTCCAAATTTACTGAAGCTCAGTGACAGATCCACAGTCTAACAACACATTTATCCTAGAGCAATTAGTCCTTCCTCTCAATTCCTTCCACTAACCACCAATGCTATAATAAATAATAAAATCAGAGATGGGCTGCTTCAAACGTCTACCCTACTTAAAGCCAACAATACACAATAACAGATAACCATGTGCACACTTGCAAGCATATGCAAACATGCCAACTTAAGTGTCAGTTCTATAAAGGTAGGGTTTGAGAAAGAACTAAATTTGAGAAAAATCAGGATAGCTTGTGTCCAACACAAGCAAGGAATGTTGCAGACACTGCCCACGCTCTGTCTGAAGCTCAGCAGCATGACAAGGCACATGTGCCACCTCCAGCCAACTCTTCACACTCACTGGGGAATGCTTGGGGGATCCCACAGTGGTAGTCCAGGGGGTGCTGGATTGGATCACTTTTCTATTTTTGGAGCAGCTTAAACTCCCCTTTGCCTTCTTGCTTACAAGGCTAGAGCAGATAGGATGCCTACTAAGGGAGGAAGACAATGAGCTCCTGACTCTTTCACTGCCAACCAGGGCCCAAGGCTCTGAGGGTAGTCTCCAGCAAACACCTCTCTCCAACGAGCCTGAGCTAAATGAAATCCCCAACCCTACTTCCTACTAGAAGGCAGAAAACCTGGCCTGATTGGTAAGCTTCTTCCTATTGTGATTCAGTTCTGGAGCCCATGGTTTTAGTTGACCAACACAAAAATTCCTCCACCCAGAGCGGGAAGAACTCATACTGTCTTGCTCCCAACAGAGGGCAGAAGGGCTAAAGATGTGACTTGAAGGGTGTGGGAGGCACTCTGGAAATCAGAAAACAGGAATGGGAAGTTGACTGGCAAAGAGACTATTGTCATGAGGCTGGAAGGAAGGCAGAACTCAGGAGTCACCAGGTACCCTGACATGGGCTCCAGTGTTCTAAGAACACTCTGGACCCAAAGTCCTTCATGGTCCTTCCAAATCAACAAGACTAGTCTTCTAGACTCCTCCTCAATCAGACTCCCCAAAATGTAGCCTTGAGACTTCAGAGTGTATCCAATACAAATCCTTTTGCTGGCGGAGTGGTTCAAGTGTTAGATCGTCTGGCTAGCAAGGGTAAAGCCCTGAGTTCAAGCCCCAGTACCGCCAAAAACAAAACAAAACGAAAAAAACTTTCTTGTTAAGGAAGAGAAACTGAGGCCCAAGGTCACACAGTGAGAAGAGTGGGCAAAGCAAGGATTTGACCCTGGCTCTGGGGATTTCAGTCGGACTATCCCCTGTAAATCTACAGGGTTCTAAGCACCATGCCCTTCCGGGTTTTCTGTATCTGTGACCCCCCCACTCTTAACTACCCAATCCCTTCAGTCCCCAATGTCCACTCATTATCCTAACTCCGTAAGGCTCGGCGCCCACCCCAAGCTCACTGAGAACTCCTCCACGTGCTTCCCTCCAAGCCTCCCATCCACCTAATTCCTTCTTTCAACTCTATCCGACGTTAGGAGACTCCACCCCTCGGCCCCCGCTCCCTCCAAAATTGCACCCTCCGCTCCCGCCCGCACTTCAGGCCAGCCCCGGGCCCCGCCTGCCCGGGAGGCCCCGCCCCTCACCGTGCCCCACTTCCCTCCGCAGCTGCACTCACGCCCTGGCCCCTCTCACCGGTAAAGCCGCTTAGTGTGGAGGACCTTTGCTTCGGGCTCGCTGCTCTCCCCTGTAGGGGGACCTTGGCTCATGGTGCCCGGGCCCGAGGGCGGCTCCTGGTCACAGGCCCCCGCCACCCACCACTACCTCCTCCAGTGCCGTCTCCGGCCGTAGCCGCAGCCGCCGCCGCTGCCGGCCCTGCTCGGCCGCCATCGCTGTGAGGCGGCTGTCCGCGACAGCTCCTCCTCCGCCTGCCAAATCTCGCGATAGCAGTCGCACTGTTGCGGGCCATTGGCGGGCTGCTACCAAATCTCGCGAAAATCGTTTTCCCTCCCGGGAAGTTGCCAGAACTTACTCTGGGCACCATGGCCTCTTTCCGGCTTCTCTAAGCCCTTGAGAAAAACTTTATTGACAAAGCCGCTAGAGAACAGACAGTGGACTCAGGCGGCTGAAGCTGAACTGGATCGGGGCGGCGGGCTCACAGCTAGGAAAGTGACTTTGCTATATCTCACGGTGGTTATTTGGCCCAGCCTTCTGCACCAGAATCACCCCTCCCCTTTGAGCCACCCCCCCCTTTCAGATCACTGGTTAGAATGACTCCTGTTCCCCCGCCTCCATAATTTAAACAAAATGATGTGTATGTGAAAGTTTTCTTGGAAAGGGCCTAGCATCACATAGCACTAAGGCTCTAGAAAACGTGACTTGTACACAAGCGCCTCAACCCTTCAGCTTCCCCTTCCAAAGATTTCCAGTTTGCAAATCCATCTCTCACCAGCCCAACATTCACTGAACACCTGCTGCCACAGTGCTGGGGTCGGGGGACAGATGAGCAAGCTAAAACCTCCCCTGCCCTCACAAAACTCAAATGACTTTAGGGGCAAGGCCTCAGGAACTAGAAGTCACTCCCTCATACTTGTGCTCCCTATCCCTCTCAGCAAGATCACTTTTGAGATTGAATATGGTTGATGTATTTTCTACACGTGGAACATTGAAACCTGTCAAAATCATCTTAAGAAGGGGGAGGGGAAAGAGGGAGAATAATGGAGGGGGTGAACCAAACCAGGGTGCATTATATGCACGTATGGAAATGACGCAACAAAACCCCCTGTACAAGGAGGGTTTCTTTAAAAAAGATCATTTCTGGGGGCGGGGGACAGGAGGGAGAAATGGCCCAAACAATGTATGCACATATGAATAAGTGATTTTTTTAAAAAAGATCATTTCTGGGGGGTGGGGATGTGGCTCAAGTGGTAAATCACCTTCGAAGCTCTAAAAAGAAAGGGAGAGAAAGAGAGAGGGAGGGAGGAGGAGGAAGAATGAAGAAGAGAAAAAAGATTACTTCTGGTTTGAGATGTAGCTCAGTAGAAGAGGACTTGCTTAGTATTTGAGAGGTCCTGTATTTGAAAAGGAGGGAAGGAAAAAGGAAGGAAGGGTGAGTCACCTAACTAACTAGGATCCCATTGCTTTCTTAGGAACACTAATACTTCTCATTTTCCATCAGGTTTCAGTTCAAATGTTACCTTTATCAAATTTCCCACTTAAATTATTGTATTGTAGTTGCAAGTTTTCTTTATTATCTGTTACCCCAATAGACCATAAACTCAAAAGAGTAGAGACCCTGACTGTCATTTTGTTCTCTTCTGTGTTTGTGCCTAGACTAGTGGGTAGCTAATAATAGGTGCTCAATAAACATTCATTGAATGAATAAATGTACAAAGTCCATTTCTTTTCTAGGTATCCCAAACTACTCCAAGCAGCCTTTTGTGCACAAACTCACCCTTCCCCCTCTTCTTTACTGAACTGGAAGCTCTTACCTGTAGGCCCAAATCTACCCTCATTGTCAGAAAGGATGACATTCTCCTCTAATGCCTTTTCTGTCGGCTGATTCAGCAGGGTGGTGCCTGTCCCTTTAATCTAGGCCCCACCTGCTCTGGTCGGACAGGTTTGGAGACACAGGTAAAGGGAGGGAGACGAGAGAGAATACTTGCAGAGCCAGCAGGGAGCTGGGCAGCCACTTTCCTGGATACTGGGGACCCACCTGCTCTCTCCTGATGAAAAGTAAGAGGGTCTCATTGGTCCAAATGGCAAAGGTAGGAGGACCCTTGAGGTAAGGAAGGGAAAGCTGTGAGATAAAGGGTGACAGGGGAGGAAGAAAGAAAAGAGAGAAGGCATGGGACAGCCATATTAGACCTAAAGTTCAGAATGGACAGACCCGCGCCCTGGGAGATGAATGAGGTGGGCTAATGTGTTTGGAAACTGACCAATCACCTAGATCGGAGACAAAAGGACCCAGTGCTCTACAACTGCCAGCAATTCAAGACAGATTTATTGGCAAGTCACTGGTATCGGTTGTCAGGAGAGTTCCAAGCAAGACTCTTTGGGAAGAAGACGAGATAGGACATTGGAGGGGCAGCTTGTCTGTCTTACAGGAAGATCCTTGGTGGGAAACAAGCTTTTGGCAAAGTTCTAGATAATTCCTCTTCATTCCATTCCTGCACTAGGGTTGCCATGACTTAAAGGGTTTTGGTGGAGGAGGTAGAAGGCGTGGGTAGAGCTGACTGAGGCCATAGCTACCTGGGCCTGTGCCCCCTGACTCACCCTTGTCTGCTGGATGGCATTTGATGTTGAAAGGGTGCCTCCATGTCAGCTGCAGTCACTGCCCTGCATCTCCCTCTGTTTCAACACCTTCCTCCGCTCTGCTTCTTGTTCTCCCTAAGGACCCAGAAGTGGCCAATGGGGAGCTGCCCTGGAAAGTTCTAGTTCTAACAAACTGTCCTAAGAACAGAAGACAGGTATAGGAGGCCCTCAGGGGTGCAGGCTCACTTTTGTAATCCTAGCTACTCAGGAGACACAGATAAGGAAGATCACAATTTGAAGCCAGCCCCCCACAAATAGTTTGTGAGACCCTATTTTGAAAAAACTCATCACAGCAAAAGGGCTAGCAAAGTGGCTCAAGTGGTAAAAGCTCCTGGAGGCCCTGAGTTCAACCCCAGTACTGCCAAAAAAACAAACACAAAAAAACCCCAGAAGACAGGTTTTTGACAGAACTTCCCTTTGCTCCCTCCAGGATAACATGATCTTGTGGTAAACCCCAGAACTGAGGCCCCAGGATGACAGAACCTGAGACCCTGGTCCTGCTGGAAGTGAAGGGGCCTGAGGCCTCGGAGAAGAGCCCACCTCAGGCTTTGGTCCCCAATGGCCGGCAGCCAGAGGGGGAGGGTGGGGCTGAGTCCCCTGGAGCTGAGTCCCTCAGAGTAGAATCTTCAGTTGGGTCCCCCATGGCTAGAGAGAGGACTGAGGATGGTCTAGACAGCACAGTAAGTGAGGCTGCTACTTTGCCCTGGGGGACTGACCCCCAGCCCAGTGCCCCATTCCCAGATCCCCCTGGCTGGCGGGACATTGAGCCAGAGCCCCTAGAGTCAGAACCACCTATCAAGTCAGAGGAGCTATCTAAAGATGATGACAACCTGCTACCTGAGAAGGCAGCCCGGGCTTTTGTGCCCATTGACCTACAGTGCATTGAGCAGCATCCCCTGGAGAACCTCATTGTGCGTTGTGAGGCAAGCAAGGGTGAGAGCCTGAACTTCCTGCCCACCCGGGTCACTCCTTCGGAGCCCCCAGAGCGAAAATGGGCTGAGGCAGTTGTCAGGCCACCTGCCCGGTCCTGTGGGAGCTGTGGGAGCTGTGGAGGTCGTGAGGGGCTGAGAGCTGTGGTCTCAGTGGTGGCCGCACTCATCCTCTTCCCCTGCCTACTGTATGGAGCATATACCTTCCTGCCCTTTGATGCCCCACGGCTGCCCACCATGAGTTCTCGCCTGGTCTACACACTGCGCTGTGGGGTCTTTGCCACCTTCCCCATCATTCTGGGTGAGTCTGATCCCTGGGAGAAGGGGCAATGGGGAACTAGACTCAGGGGGGCAAGGCCTTGATGGCCTGGAGAGGAAGGTTTCTCTCCACTCAGCCTGAACCCTTGAGGGCCTCCCATACCTGTCACTCTGTGTATCCACCTCTTCCCAGGATTGAGTGGCTACCCCAGTGTAGAACCCACGCACCCTCCACTGTGAACCTTATCCCAGCCTTCCTGCCTATTCTGACCCTATGTACTTCCCATCTTTCCCAGGGCTCCTGGTATATGGACTCAGCCTGTTGTGCTTTTCTGCCCTACGGCCCTTTGGAGAGACAAGGCGGGAGGTGGAGATCCACCGGCAGTATGTGTCCCAGTCAGTCCAGCTCTTCATCCTCTACTTCTTCAACCTGGCTGTGCTCTCCACCTACCTGCCCCAGGATACCCTGAAGCTGCTCCCTCTGCTCACTGGTCTCTTTGCCATCTCCCGGTGAGTAGGGGCTGGGGATGGTCATGGGGGAGGTGGGGCTAGAGGAGCCAGGCATCTGAATGTCTGTAGAGCCAAGGTCAGAGGATTTCTGGATGTGTGCCCTGGAAGGATGAGTCCACTTTCTCTCTTGCACCCTACCAGGTAACAGGTGGCCAAACTCTTGTCTTCCTATGGAAAATTGATTCCAGAGACACATACACCAACATAGAACTGGAAGGCTTTCAAATGTCATTTATTTATTTGTTTATTTATTCATTTATTCACTAACTTACTTTTGGTGCTTGGGCCCAGAGCCTTGAACATGCTAAGCATTTACTCTACCACTGAGCACCCCCAGGCTTGGGTGCCATCAGTGCACCCATTACAGCCACTCTGCTCTTCTGTGGCACTCTGGTCATATAGCTTCAAATTTTGCCCTCTACCAGCCCAGGCAAAGAGTTCACAGACCTTATCTTCAAAATACCCAACACAAAAAAGTACTGCCAAAATAAAATAAAATTAGTTTCTAGGTGAATACCAAATGCTCCATTCTTTTTTCCTTTTTTTTTTCTTTGCAGTACTAAGGTTTGAACTCAGGGTCTCATGCTTACAAGGCAGACATTCTACCCTTTTTTGTGTTTGGTTATTTTCCAAATAGGGTCTCTAGAACTATTCCTGGGTTGGCTTCGAACTGCAGTTCTCCTGATCTCTACCTCCTGAGTAGCTTGGATTATAAGCGTGATCCACCAGCACCTAACTACTACTTCTTCTTCTTCTTTTTTTTTTTTTTTAAAGTGTCAGTTCTTTTTAAAGCAACCTATTTTTAAATGTCCTGATTAAACCAGGCATGGTGTTCACACCTGTATTCCCAGCTACTTGGAAGGCTGAGGCAGGAGAGTTGTGAGTTCAAGACTAGTCTGGGCAGAGTTAGCAAGACTCTACTTCAGAAAAACAACAGGGCTGGGATCTTGGGATCATGGCTCAACAGGTAGCCCTTACCTAGCATGCTCAAAGTCCTGGGTTCAATTTGAAAAAAAACAAAAACAAAAAACAAAACAGAACTATATAAATCTGGGCTCTGGTTACTCATGCCTATAATCCTAGCTACTCAGGAGGCAGAGATCAGGAGGATTGCAGTTCAAAGCCAGCCCTGGGGAAATAATTTCTAAGACCCTATCTTGAAAATACCAAATACAAAAAAGGGCTGGCAGGGTAGCTCAGGTGGTAGAGTGCCTGCCTAAGAAGCATGAGACCCTGAGTTCAAACCCCAGTACTGCCAAAAATAAATAAATAAAAGATCCTAATTGGACCTTTCAAAATCCCCCCCCTGCCCCGCCACACACACATACAGTAGGGTTTCAACTCAGGGTCTAGAGCATGTTAGGCTAGTACTCTACCACTTGAGCCAAAATGTCCAATTTTTAAAGATCCTAGTTGTTAGAGAGTTCTTCTATTCCTCCCCTTCCCCTCCTCCTTCCTCTACCTTTCTTCCTTCTCCTTGCCTTGTACTTGCTAGGCAAGGGCTTTACCACTTGAGTTATGAGCCTGACCAGAAAGTTCTTTCTACAGTAATATGTTAAAAAGTTTTGCCTTTGACTCTGTCCTCCAGAATTGCTTGGGACAAACTCAGATATCTGACAACAGCTCAATTCCTCTGGCTCTAACACCGTGCTCCCCTAGTCATTAAATGGTCCTGACCGTCATTGTCCTGGATATTTTCCTCTGGGCAGGAAATCTCCTTGTCAATGAGGAGAGACCCCTTAGTCAAGAGTACTGAGCTCCAAGGGGTAAGGCACCTGCCTAGCAAACATGAGGCCTGGAGTTTAAACCAGTACCACAAAATAAATAAATAAATAAATAAAAGAGTACTGAGCTCTTCATAAAAATGGAGGCCACATTAGTTCTCATGGTAGTGTCATTACTCTCCTTTCATTCAGAGTTTGCAGTCACCCTGAAGCCCTTAAGGGTGTTTTTTGTTTATTTGTTTTCTGGGAGTTTTTTGTACTACGGATTGAACCCAAGGCCTCAAACATCTAAGCATGAGCTCTACCACTGAACTAATCTCCCAATCCTAAAGTGTTTTCATATGAATAGCTGTTAACAGAGAAGGCACTTTTGAGTGTCTGAAGCCAAATGCAGCTCTTCACTCTTTCCTAATACATTTACTCTGTTATTTTTAATACCAGATTGCAGGTAGCTTTAACTGCTAAAACAGTCTTCCTGCTGAGCTAAAATTAGTCTTCTTGTCACTTTTGTTTTTTTTTTGTGGGACTGGGACTTCAACCAGGGCCTACCCTTTGAGCCACTCCACCAGCCCTTTTTTGTGATGGGTTTTTTTTTTTTTTTTTTGAGATTGGGTTTCATGAACTATTTGCCAGTGCTGGCTTCGAACTGCAGTCCTCCTGAGTTGTGCCTCCTGAGTAGCTAGGATTACAGGTCACTTCTGATTGTAATCTAGTGGTCAGCTATCCTGCCAGCCTCCTGACCATCATGCAGCCTTGCATTTTCTCCCAGTAGATTTTCCCAAGATCAATATATTCCTGCTCATGTAATGCAACCTCCCATCTCTGACTCTGGGGAATACTGGTCTCAGAGAGAAGTTAGCTAAAGTAGTAAGAATCAAAAAATAAATAAAATAAAAGCAGTAAGAATCATCAGGGAACTGAAGGGACGTTCAACGATTGACTGGTCCACTTCCCATTTTATAGAGAGGTAATCACAACAGATTAGGTGAGAAGAATTGCTCAGGTCTGTCAGCAACAGTGGGAAGACTAGAACCCAGGCCCCTTCCCTCTCCCATCCAGGGTCATCTCTTCTCTACCATGGGCAAGTACTTTAACCATCTCGTGCCTCAATTTCATTATCTATAAAATGCAATTGTTGTGAAGATTAACAGAGTGCATTCACGTAAGAGTGCTTAAAATAATCTGCCACTTCTAAGTGCTTGCTAAACATGAAGTCTTACATCCTGCTGCCTCCTTGTGCAGTAGAGAGGCAGCATCTTCCTCCCTTAAAAGGAGAAGATGCATGTCAATTTTGTAATAAGTCACCTTTCATATATTAAGAGGAAGTTTTCCTCCTAAAGTTTCTTAGGGTGTGGATTTTTCAAGATTTTTTTTTTTTTTTTGGAGCCAGAGTCTTGTTAAATTGCTTGGGTTGGTCCTGAACTTTCAATTCTCTCACCTCAGCCTTTCTAGTGACTGGTATTACAGGCATACATCAGTGTACCCAGCTAAGAAGGGAGATTTTATTGTGGCTGATCCATCACTCTGGGCTTCAAGCCCTCCTATTTATTTATTTATTTGAGGCAGGGTCTCACGCTGTAGCCCAGGCTGGCCCTCAAACTCAGATCCTCCTGCCTCGGGTTCCTGAGTGCTGGGATTATATTACAGGTGTGCACTAACATTCCTGGCCCTCAAACCACTCCCCACCTTTTTTTTAATTGTTGTGCTGAGTTGGGTTACATTGTGATATTTACAAAGGTTCTTACCATTTTATCAAATATATCATCCGTCCACCATTCTCCTTTATCCCTCTCTTCCTTTTTTTTTTTATTTTTTAACATTACTAGGGTTTGAACTCAGGGCATGGTACATGCTAGGCAAATGCTCTATCACTTGAGCCACAGTCCAACCCTCCTCAAGCCTTGTTAAATCTGGCTTCTTTTTTCTCTTCTTCCTCTCTGCCCCTCCAAAACACTGAAAAAATGGGGTGATGAACATTCTTGGGTTCAAATTATGGCTTTGCTATTTCCCAGATGTAAGCCTAGACCCCTTTGGAATCTTAGTTTCTCCATCTGCAAAAAAGGTAAATACAAGGCCAAGTGCTGGTGGCTTACACTTGTAAGCCTAGCTACTTAGGAGGCAGAGATCAGGAGGATCACTGTTCAAAGACAGCCTGAGTAAGTAGATGGTGAGACCCTATCTTGAAAAACCCTTCATAAAAGTAGGGCTTGTGGAGTAGCTCAAGGTGAAGGCTCTGAGTTCAAGCCCCAGTACTGGAAAAAAAAAAAAAGAAAGAAAGAAAGATAAATACATTAGAATACACTGAAGCTGGAAAAGAGTAAGGAAACTATATACTGATATAAAATTATCTCAAAAACGGACACTGGTCACTCATGCCTATAATCCTAGCTACTCAGGAGGCAGAGATCAGGAGGATTGTGGTTCAAAGCCAGCCCTGAGCAAACAGTTCAAGAGATTCTATTTTGAAAAACCCTTCACAAAAAAGGGCTGGTGGAGTGACTCACGGTGTAGGCCCTGAGTTCAAACCCCAGTACTGGAGGGAAAAAAAAAAAAGTCTATCATACTTCTCAAAAGGAAAAGAGAAAATACAACTGTTGTCATTCAGGTTAGAAATGTAGTGAAGCACTTGCCTAGCATGTGGAAAGCCCTGGGTTTGATCCTCAGCTCTGCAAACAACTTGTTCATACATGCATAGAAAATCACTCAGTGCACAAGAAATCATAATGATGCTTGGGGTGAAGTGGGGGAGAATAGTGTGGTAATCAGTAAAGGAAGATATTTTAATATACTCACTGAATTCTTCACCATGCAAATGTATATTTCAAAAGTTTTTAATTAAAATTTGAAAAGGGGAGAATATACTCACATCAGAGAGATGTGGGAAAGTAAAAATTAAATAATGAACATACAGTAATTAGCCATGTTTCTGGCACATTTTATTTATTTATTTAATTTATTTATTTTTGTGGTACTGGGGTTTGAATGCAGTGCCTACATCTTGAGACACTCCACCAGCCCTTTTTTTATGATGGGTTTTTTTGAGATAGGGTCTCGAAAAGTATTTGTCTGGGCTGGCTTTGAACTGTGATCCTTCTGATCTTTGCCTCTTGAATAGCTAGGAGTCACTGGTGCCTGGCTTCTGGCACATTTTAAATACATAAACTTTGACTGTTTTTAGAAGTACCAGCCATGTGCACCAACTCCCATCTGCCTTTTTCATTCTCTATTTTCTATCCTTGGAGAGTAGCCTGACCTTTGTCATGCCCCCCACAGGCTGATATACTGGTTGACCTTTGCTGTGGGCCGCTCCTTCCGAGGCTTTGGCTACGGCCTGACGTTCCTGCCACTGCTGGCCATGCTAGTATGGAACCTTTATTATATGTTCATTGTGGAGCCTGAGCGCATGTTCACTGCCTCAGAGAGCCGCTTGGACTACCCGGACCACGCCTCTGACTACAGGCCCCGACCATGGGGCTGAGCTGCTTAGTTAAGCACGGTGGGCCCACCACACTTCTCTCGGTCGGTTGCAGGCCCCTGAAACCTCAGTGGAAGGAACACTACTACTGCCCCATAGAGGTCCTGTCCCATTCAACAGAGCCTGGACTGACTCCTGCCCTCCCTTACTCAGTAGCTGCTGTTGCCCTTCATCTTTGGAGCCTGGGACAGTCATAAGGGAGAGATTTCTTGCAGGGAAAGAGGTAGACAGCCATGTGCCTTAAGGATGCTGAGGACAGAGGCCAAGACACAGGGAAAAGCATGGTTCCTTTCTGAGCAGCCTCCAGGACCATCTCTGTGCCAGTTATCTAATCAGAGGAACTCAAGAGAACTGGAAAAACCACCCATGTCCACAGATAAAAGCTGGCACTGGATCAAATAAGATTTTCACACTTGATGACAACTTTCCTAGGGGCCTGGGTTCAGGATTCTATTACTGGCCTTAAGGACTCTATAGCCTCTGTCAAGATTATTAGGCTGCTGCCTCTGTCCAAAGCTGCTGTCTCCTCCCTTCCAAACTGTAGGCCCCATTGTTTCCCATCTCCAAAATTCCCAGAACTCACATCTCCCGTGGGAAGAGAAGGGCAGGAGATCTGCCTCCCAAGAGGGCTGTGTGTGTGTATGTGTGTATGCATGCGTGTGTGTGTGTGTGTGTGTGTGTGTGTGTATAACCACACATATGGTGGCTGGGGATTTGTCAGAAGGTACAGTGGCTGATGTTAACCCAGTGTGTTTGGGTGTACATGTGTATATGTGTAAAACAATAAATTACTACCAGTCTTTGTTGGCTCTTTTTGTTTGTACCCTACTAGCTCAGTCTCTTGTCCTTCCTTGTTTGATTCCGACTACCCCAGAAACCTCCCATGTTGGGGGTGGAACCTTGTTCCATGGGAAGAGAAAACTAGGCCTGGTAAGGACAGAAACTTGCCTTCCAAGCCTATCTCTTAGCTCTCGCATTCCTTCCAGCCAGTCCAGCCCAGCCCAGCAGCACTCACATGTTAAGAGACTGGAAACTTATGGGGGAAAAAAAAATCTATTTCATGCCTTCTAGGGCAGCCACCCAGTCTCTCACTGAGACCTTCAAGTCTCATTCAAGGGAAACGGGGTGAGGAGAATGACACAAGGAGGCAACACTAAGGGGACCTTGCTTTTGGTAATAACCTTGGCCCTGGCTCCTCCTCAAGCTATGAAGGAAGCCCTACCAGGAGCTGATGTCTGAGGTTCTGTGGAAAGCCAAATGGAAGAAGAGAGGAGACAGCTGGAATACTGAGCCTCCAACCTCCAGGAGGTTGATGCACAGCAAGGCAGGTCCCATAATGTCCTTCCTTCTAGAGAGTGGGTTTCAGTTTATAGACTGGTAGTCTGAGTACTGCTTGTGCCGCAGTAGCAGAACCAGGCCTCCCCCCAGCAACACGAGCCCTGGAGCACCCAGGGCTACTGCCATGATTCCCAGGACTAGTGGAGACAAGGAATCCACTGGAGGGGGGCCAACACCCAGAAGCATCGACCTAGAGCAAGAAGGGTGAAAAATAGAAGTAAGCAGGCTTAGGAGGGAAGGCTGGGAGGCTCAGCCCTCCTCCATTTTGTTCCCCAAAACCCTGAGTCCCAACTCTGACTCTTACCAGCTGAGGTAGTGTTGGTCCCAGTAGCCAGGGCCTGTGGAAGCCCCAAATGTCAGGTTGAAAGCACAGAAGTTACTCTGAGACCCAAAGAAAGCTTGGACAATGGGTGACTTGGGGAGAGAGTATGCCAAGGTGGGGTGAAGAGGGGAAGCATGGCAAGGCAGGGCTGATTCTCGGCCTCCCTGCTTCTTGGAGAAAGCTACTGGTCGCCACTGCACGAAGCCAGAAGGGAGGGAGCCCCAGAGCAACTGGTCCAACTGGGGAGAAAGCCAAATGAAGCAGGGTAAGGGGGACCATCTGTGCCCAACCCTTTCTTCCCCCACCTCTCCCAGACTCCATCTGTCATGGCAATGACAGGCAGTTATGCTAAGGGTGTGGTTTTAGAAACACAGGCTATTTGCAACAAGGCTCAATCTCTTCTGTCAAAAGATGGAGATGGGCTGGATGAGCAAAGAGTTCCAGCCCTACCGGTCTGCACTCAGCTCCTTCCTCTTGCTAGAGGTAGGTCCTGTGGAGATCCCACCTGCAGAGCATGAATCATACTGCACTGCCTTTTGTCTGTTTCCCTTGAGGGCAGAGACTGGATGGGAGGAGGGGGAGGGGGAAGGAGGACGTTTATTACACAGTGCCCAGCACTTAAAGGAAACAGAGAAAGTGATGCTAAGTGATAAGTAGTTGAAGAACTTTCTGAGGTCCTGACAGGGTCCCACCTACATTCCTATCCATCTGCTCCATTGGAATCCTGACCTGGAAGACAGCAGGTGCATATTCATCATCGATGGAATGCTGCTTCCGCATTGAGGGGCAGTCAGGGCCCTGCCCCAAAGTGGCTACCTCCAGCCCAAACAGAGAGTGGTTTCCTCGGGGAGAGGCCCCAACCAGGGTCACTTCTAGCTGGCAGGTATCTGCTGTATGCAGGAGGCGAGGCGACTGGGCAGGTCGGCCAGATCTGGAAAAGGCCTGGACCTAGGAGGCATTGGAGGTGTGGGAAGGCAACTGGATGTTTATGCTTGAGGTCTACCCCCTTCATTAACTCCAACCCTCAAACCAGCCTCTTGAGTTCCTTCTGTGTCCCTACACCCTCACCTTGAAGGCTAGGCTGCCATTTGCAAAAGCCTTGTTAGGGTCGTGCACAGGGTGGCCTCGAAACGTTGTGCTCAGGGTGGCAGGATCCAATGAATCAGTGATGTTGTTCCAGAAGAACTTGGCCAAGGAGTATGGAGGATATGGTATTCCTGGGAGGTCTGCTGCCACCTCAGACATGTTGGTGCTGTCAAACTCAAGCAACTGGTAGTGGGTAGGGTACAAATGGGCTTGTTTCCATCTGGTCTAGCTTTCTGTAGAATCACCCCTCCCACTCATCCCTATTCCCAGACTCTCACTTCTGAGTCTATCTCACCCACCCCTAGTCTTCAGTTCCTCCCTCTACTAGTTGGGATGAACTCTCTTCTCTGTGCTCTTCTTGATTTCCAACCTCCCCCTCCCACCGCCTCCTTACCCTGGTGAAGACAAGGGCAGAAGAAAACTGGATGCTGTCCTTGGGGAGCACCAGTAGGCCCCCATCAGGCTCAGGGGATAGCAGGCAGCTCCAGTTGACACTCAGGACACTGTGGGGGGTGTTGGTGGCCACTAGCACCACTGCTGGAGGCCCCAGGCTGCTCCACACATAGTGTAACGTGGAGTTGGTACCCACTGCCCGGATATGAAGCAAGTTCTGGGGGAAGCCTGGCAAGCTGTGGATAACCTCCAAAGATACCTGGAACATGGAATAATAGTGGAGAGTACAGAATCAGGGAAAGACAGGCAAAGAAGCTTGACAGTAGGAGGAAGGGATTTGGACAATGCCAGGGCAAGTGTGGGACCTTGGGGATCCAGACAGGAAGAGTGTGTGTGGGAGCTAAGGGAATCCTGGAATAAGGGGGAGAAATGAGGTGGAGGAGGGATTAGGGGGTAGATTCAAGACTTCCCTAATTCTGGTAGGGAGGAGGTAAGAGCACAGAGCTAAGAAGAAAAAACAAACAAAAAACCTAACTCTTGACTGGACCTGGGTCACCCATGACTGATACAGGGTACAGACTTCACCAGAAGGCAGGAAGCTACTATATCCGCTCCACTACATAATCCTTTTCCTATCATCCATGGCTGCTCTGCCGTGTCAGGCCCCCGCTTTCCTCCTAGGTTGGCTGAATGTTTCTTTTTTGCAGCTACCCTCCACCTCTTGATTACCCCAGATTCCAGCCACCCTGGAAGGGTGGCATTTCCTGAAATCACTACTGCTTTAGTCCCAGAGTGCTCACCTGGCGGGTCTCCTCTCCCAGCAGGCCGAAAGGGGCTGCAAACAAAAGTTGACTCAAAAGGAGCATGGGGCCGCGGGCATACTGCCCCCAACCCCAGTGGGACTCCCCACAGTCACACATGGAGCAGTAAGTTGAGCTGGCGGAAGAGACATCAGTCATGTGACCTGAATTCAGCTGATCCCCTTAAGAGGGCGGGGCAACCACACCAGTTCTTAAAGAGACCAGTAAACTTAACCCAGATTTCAGCATGAGTTGGAACAGAATCAGAAAGATTGGGAGTATATCATTCCCAAGCAGGCTGGCAAACAAGGCATTCCAAACCAGATGTGCAGACATACTCCTACCTTTCCTACTCAGGTAGTGCCACTGAACCTATAGTGAGTGTGTCTGGATTTAAAATCTAAACGGGATCTGAATAATACAACTCTGGTAGGAAGATCCAGAGAAGAACCCTTTGAGGTGAGATGAACCCCAGAGGATTCTTCTTGTCAACCTAATATTTACTGGACACCCAGGAATGCAGGTTTTTGTCTTAGAAGAGCTCACAATGTTATAGAGAAGATACCTCAGAAAATAAGATATGAGAGCAATACAACTAATTGTTCAAAGTGGGAGGTCCTGGCTGAATGCACACCTTTTGTTGTTCTTGTTTAATTTTAAATATCTAGCTATAAATGCATATGGCACAAAATTTGAAAGCATTTATTTTTTCCAGTACGGGGGTTTGAACTCAGGGCCTTCACCTTGAGACACTCCATCAGCCCTCTTTGTGAGGACTTTTTTTTTTTTTTTTGAGATAGGATCTTACAAACTATTTGCCTGGCCTGCCTTCGAACCTTGATCCTCCTGATCTCTGCCTTCTGAGAAGCTAGGATTACAGACATGAGTCACAGGTGCCTGGCTTAGTTTGCTTTTCTACTTCAGGACTGTTTTGTATTAATGTACTTCAGTTGTAGCATTCTCTTTGCAGGGGTATGTTCCATGTACATGATTAGTCAGAACCTTGTTGATATAGCAATATTTTGCTATGGCAAACAACATTGTAATATCCCTATACATATATTTCATATATTCACAACCAATTGTATAGGATAAATATCCAGGAGTAGGGATTGTTAGGTCATCTTGCCCTTTGTGATGCTTATTAATAAATTTATATTCATACCATATTTAGGGTCCATTTCTACACACCTTTGAAAGTGTTTGCCAAACAGGGTTTGTATTTTCCTATAAACACATTTATGGATCTCTTCATGTGTTAGTCAATAATTTTTGTCTCCCTGGAGCTATTTGTATACCCTTTGCCTATTTTCCTAAAGCGTTTTTCAAACTTAGGGCTGGGTATCAAACCTAGGGCTTCATGCATGCTAGGGACAAGTGCTCTGCAACTGAGCCACATTGCTCTCCTCTGCTCAGACCAACGCTTTTTCTTTTTTTTGGTAGGACTGGGGTTTGAAAGAGTTTTCAGCTTACAAAGCAGGCAGCACTCTGACTGAGCCACGCTTCCAGTCCATTTTGCTGTTTTTGTTTTGTTTTTGTACTGGGGTTTGAACTCAGGACCTCACACTTGCAAGGCAGGCACTCTACCACTTGAGCCACTAGACCAGCCCTATTTTTTTCTTTGAGTTTTTTTGAAATAGGGTCTCTAGAACTATTTGCCCAAGGTGGCTTCAAACCAGGATCCTCCTGATCTCTGCTTCCCAAGTAGCTAGGATTACAGGCATGGGCCACCAGTTTCCGGATTGCTCTGGTTATTTTGGAGATAGGATCTAGCAAACTATTTGCCTGGGCTGGCCTTAAGCAGCAATTCTCCTGATCTCAGCCTCCCAAGTACTTTAGGATTACAGGGGTGAACCAATGGTAACCGCCCAGCCTTTTCTTAACTGCCAAGTTCAAAGTTCTTTTGCCTTTGGAGCCCAGCCTGGCACTGAACTTTCGATTCTCCTGCCTCCACCACCTGAGATGGGATTACAGGCATGTACCACCATATACTGCTCAAAGTTCAAGATTAACCAGGGCTGGAGGCATGACTCAAGTCGCAGAGCACTTGCCTAGCAAGTGCAAAACCCTGAGTTCAATCTCCAGAACAGGAAAAAAAAAAAAAAGGTTCTCCCTCTCCCATGTTTTAAAATGAAGGTTTCCTCCTACTATTAGATAAATAAAACCTCACATTTCTTGTAATACTCCTATGGTTTCATTTTCTATGTTTAAATCTTCCAGCTGTCTAGAACTAAATTTGCTATAATAGAGGGATCAATTTTCATCTTTTTCTTCCAAACTGCTACTCCAGGATAAATGGTAAGTTTCCTCAAAGACTCATTTTCCTTGAGGGGAAAAAAAAAGAAAAAACTTTTCTAAGTTTCAACTCTGGGACATAAAGGAGAATAAAAACAAGGCTTGGCTGAGTACAGAGGATTTTAGTAGTCAGGAATTCAAGGGCTGCTCTCCTCTTCCCCACTCAAAAGAATACTGTTTTATGGGGGAACTTGAATCTAGGAGCTAGAAGAACAGTAAAGTCAAGGAGGTGAAAAAATTGTGTCCATGGAATTACTTAATTTAGTGAATATGGTTCATATTGGCCTTTAATCACTGTTAAATTATGGAAAGCAAAGAAGTATGAAAACCAGACTGAAACGTCCAGACAGATCTCACATGCCACAAGGATTTACAGACTTTTGAGGTAGGAAATATTCTAGGTTTAGAAATGAAAAAAAGTGAGTGATCAATGATAGCAAGATATACACTATTTGTTTAATCACTAATGCTGAAACCAGAACGAACCCAGACAAAATAAAGGACAAATTGAAGAATCTACAAAGTGGGTCCAGCTTCTTCAGGACCTCTGTAATTCTTTTTTGGGGGGCATGGGGGCAGTACTGAAGTTTGAACTCAGAGCCTTGCTAGGCAGGTGCTCTATTGCTTGGGTCGTACCACCAGCCCTCCTCAGGTCTTATGAAAATTGTTTTGTAGTACTGGGGTTTGAACTCAGGGCCCCACATTTGCTAGACAGGCAATCTTAACCCTTGAGTCACTTTGCTAGTCCATTAACAGTGTTTTGTATGTGGTACTGGGATCAAACTCAGAGGTTTGGCTATGCTAGATAGAGTACCCTAGGACTGAGCTGTACTCCAGCCCCTTAGGAGCAGTATTTCTTCAAGATCTTATTTGTCAGTCTATTTGAAAAGTTATCCTTCACTCCGAAGGACTTAATAGCTTTGAGCTGGGTGCCAGCAGCTCATGTCCATTCCTAGCTACTCAGGAGGCAAGAGATATGGAGGATTGTGGTTCAAAGCCAGAACTTGGCAAATATTGTTTAAGAGACCCTATCTCAAAAAAAAAAAAAAAAAAGGGCTCTTGGAGTGACTTGTGGCGTAGGTCGGGTTCAAATCCCAGCACTGCAAGAAACCAAAACAAAAACAAGACTTAACAGTTCTGAGGCAATTTTTTGCAGTACTTGGATTTGAACTCAAGGCCCAAACCTCGATCCTCCTGATCTCTGCTCCTGAGTAGCTAGGATTATAGGAATAAGCCACTGGCGCCAGGCAGCTGAGGGCTGTATACTGAACTAAGCAAGAAGCTTCAAGCTGGGTATGAACAGAGCAGAAAGGGAGTCCAGAGGTACTCACAGCCCTTTCTCATTCTACATCTCAGTTTAGTCACAACAGACAGCATAGCATGGCTTTAGTTAAGAATGCCTACCTGCCTACTACAAAAAAAAAAAAAAAAAAAAAAAAAACCAGTTGTGGTGGCTCTTGTAATCCTAGCTACTTGGGAGGATCGGGATCATGGTTCCAGGCCAGCCCAGACAAATGGTTGGTGAGACCCCCCTGTCCAAAAAATAATCAGAGCAAAATGCACTAGAGCTATGGCTCAAGGGGTAGAGTGCCTGCTTTGCAAGCAAACCCCACCCCCCCTCCACACACACCAAAAAAAAAAAGACTGCCTGGATAGTTTAACATCAGCCACTTAGCAGTTTTATGACGCTTGAGCAAGATGATAGTATTAGCTATTTTACACAGTCACTGTGAGGATTAATTAACACATGCAAGGTTCTAGAACATTTATCTGTTAAACACCATGTACTATTGTTCTATAAAGTATTCAACTTAAAATGACTAAGTCTAGTGGTCAGGGAGGAGATAAAAAAGGCTTAATGTATGAATCATAAGGACAAAGGCAAAGGCACAAGGCCTCATTGCCAAGAGGAAAAACAAGAAAGAAACCAAAGGCTGATCCCATTTACAGCCACTACTCAAGATATTCCCATGATTTAAAAAAAAAAAAAAATGTTATGTCTCCAAGGACAAATGCCTGAGCTGTAGCCAGGATTGGGTGTAGCTCTAAACACAACAGATGAGGAACACCCCTGGTTTTGGCAGGTTCTTCCTGTTCTTTGGATGGTGAATACAAAGTAGTTCAGTGTAGTGTTTAAGGTGTTGGGGATTGAGCCCAGGGCCTCACACATGCCACAAAAGTGCTCAAGGGCTCAACTACTGGTCCACCCTCCTAGTGCTAATCTAAAGTGGTGCTTCTAAAGCTTTATAGTGTCACCCTTTGAACTTCCAAGTCTTTCCAATCAAAATCTGAGATGTCTGAGGAATATCCTTTCAAGAAGGCAAACAGAAAGACTTAATGACCTCATTCCCATCTCCCTTGATCTTCAGTAAGGTTTTCCACCTCTTCCAGCTTTGCCAGGAGGTAGAGATATGACCCAAGGTTGAAAAACACATCAACAACCATCTCAAATGACTTAGATTTAATCATTGGAAGCAAACTAAATGGAAGCTTACAATAAAGAATTACATTTCAGACAATAAAGAATTATATGTCAGTGCCTTTTGCAAACTGAGCTGGGACAGAAAGGGACTGGGGCTGCCCCTCAACCTGATCCTTTCCAAACAAAGACATCCACAGTGTTCCTGGAACTCTGGCTCAGGAAAGGGGGAGACTGCTGGTTCTGTGCGTTGAAGTCGCCTTGTCCATCACTCATTCCTGGCTAGCATCAGGAGCTCCGCCTTGCCGGTTCTGGTCATCACCCTTCTTTTTATGGCCTGAGACGATGTCATCAATCCGTAGCAGTAGAACTGCAGTCTATGAGAAAAACCAGTCCCAAAGAGGTCAGCAGAGAAGGGCACTATTTTC